TCTGTTTCTCCCCCCCCCAATTTTCTCCTCCCCGCTTGTTCTTCCCCCTCCTCTTCTTTCTCTCTCTCTCTCTCTCTGGAATCTGGCTGCTTCTATCGCAGAAATCCCCACTGATGGCGCGCGCGCACACGCGCACACAGTCGCACACTCTCGGGGGAAACTAGCCCTGAAGGCTTCGGTGCCGGGGGATTGGCTCCCCGGGTCTCCCCCCGCCCCCCAACATCCTTCCTTGCACGTCAAAGACAGGCTGAGTCAAGGAGATCTCTGAGCAAAGGAAGGAATGCCCGGGCACCTTCACGCCTCACTGCCACCTGCCCCATTCTGCACACTAGCCTGGTCAGACCTGGACATGGGAGTCTCCGTTCACCCGTCTCAGGGCTGCGCTTCCCAGGACTGGGGCTCCTTCCTTTCTGGGCTGAACTGGGGGAGCTCCAGGTGGCTACTCTTGCTGAGAGGGGAAGGAGCTCACACCTCTCTGTCTTGCATGGCCAAGGGCTCGGCTCCAGATCTCTCCCTAGCCCGTCCCCCAAACAGTTGCTGCATTGCAAGAGACACTCAGTTCACGGTGCCTTCTTCCCAACACACCTACTGCTGGAGATTCAGTAGCATCCTCAAGCTTGCTGCAGGGACCCAAAGGCTGTCTGTGACATCTCTTAGGCATCCCTTCAGCTGTGAAAGGTGTTTATCTGACCCTGAGTGCTCCTAGCTGGGCAGACCCACCTACCTGTTCGCAGCCATCCCCGGCAGCAGCCCTGGTATGGCTGATACTCAACATTCCTGCTTCGATTTCCAGCCACTGCCTTCTGAAAGCCCTGAAACCCGCACACCCATCTGCCCTAGGTCTGGCAGGGCAGCTCGTTTGAGTATATGAGAAATCTGCATGAGGTAATGTGCCAGAACACTTTAGAAAATGGGGAGGAAGGTGGTTGGCAAGATTGGTCCGGACTAGGGGGACTCTGGGGCACACCAGGTCTCAGCTCCATCTCAGGGAAGTGTGAAGGGGCCATGGCCACTCTGTCCTCCATCAAGACCCTGTGGGGAAGGTGAGGAGTGGACAGACAGGCAGCAGCTCTCAGATCCCCTGCAACCCTTTTGCCTCCATAAGATGCCACCTCCTCCGTGTGACCATTGCACCATGTTAGCAGTCTCAGACTTCTGTCCTGAGCCACAGACAACCCCATTCTGAAACCACCTGGTGTGGCCAGTGGTGACTGGACATTCCTGGGTCTCAGTCTGAGGCCGCAAGGCCTGGAGTGTGTCCAACAGGGGAACATACTGTGGCCAGATCTGCACATGCTCTTTCGAGATGGGGAGAAGTCAGCAGTTACGGGATGTTCGTGACAGAGTGAATATGAGTCATTAAATGCTGTAACTGGACCCTGGGGAAGGGCTCAAAAACAGGACTATATACAGGCAGTCAGAGAGGTGCCTCATTAGCCATCTCTGCAGCAACCCTTTGGCATAGATATCATGGTTCTATCTTGACAAATGAAGGAGCTAAGGTCCAGAAAGTTCAAACTTTGTTCAAGGTCATTCCAAGTAGGAATCAATAGAGAGGATAAAATGAATTGCCTGAGATGCTAGAGTGAGGATCTGAATCCACATGTACTGGACATTAAAACCTGTCTTCTTTTGACTGGGCCACAGTATTTATCGAACACATGTGCGTGGACACACAGTCCAATGAGAGGTTAGGGACTGCAGTGGTTCGTTCCCTGCTTATCATTAGAAAAGCATAAAATATTGATATAAATCAAACAGAAGCTAGAATGTCACCCATGTCCCGGGGAGATTCTATAAACGTGCTATGAAGACAGAGAGTGCGTGCTTTGGAGAAACTGGGATTTCTGCGAGTGGAGGAGAGCCAGGATCTGGCATTCCATGGGGAAGGAGGTGCCTGGGCAAATGCCTGGAAGTCGATGTCTGGCACATAGTCGTGGTTCTGGAGCACAAGGTGAGTCTGAATAAAAGTAGGGAGAAAAGGCAAGGGCAAATTCTGGATGCCAGTCCAATGCCAGGCTGAAGAACAGGCAGGAAGGCTAGTTCCATTCAGGTGATGGCTTCCAGGATTTGCAGCATCCAGGCATCTCCACTAGTTTCCATTTGTAAGGCATTTACACAACTTCATAGGATTCTTTTAGAAGCCTGGGCATTCTAGGAACGGCATGCGCATGCTCTCATTGTACAGATAAGGACATTGAGACCCCAGTGGGAACGATCTTTGCATAAGGACACATGGCTGGTAGGTGGCAAACTGTGGCCTGGAACCCAGGACCCTGATTTTCTGTCTACTGCTCTCTCTGCTGCTACTATCAGACAGGTGGTTCCTCCCCAGGAAGGCTGTTTATGTACACTCCTGGCCCTCAAGTTGAGTAAGCAGAATCAGTGAAACAGAGTCCTTCCAGCAGGACCGCTGAGCCACTGGCTCATTTGCTCATTACCAGAGAAGAGAAGAACTGGCTTGGTGACAGGGTCTTTGCCATGGGCCCAGACCCCAAAGGCCAGGAAAGGAAGACAGTGGGTTCAGCCAGAGAGAAGAAGAAGCCTGATACCTGGCAGTGTCCACTGACAGGCTCCCAGGAGAAGCTGAGGCCCCACTGTCTGATGGGATTCAGAATGCTGGACCACATTTATCAAAGATTTGCTATGATCAAGATATGGCAGCCTTAAAGATACAAGAGGGGACCCCCAAAAAACAGAAGTATCTTTTTTTTGGAGGGGGACTCCCTTGTAGTACAGACTTCCTCTGCTAGGTAAGTGTTCTAGGAACCCATCAGCATCAGTGTGACAGCTAGCATTGTTGTTAGAGATTGGGTTCAGCTTCAGTGAATTTCTTTTCTCTTTTCGGCGATTCTTTCAATGCATTTGTCCATTTCATGATGGATGATTTATGAGCACACCTGCCCACACCATGCTGAGTGTTTAGCAGTTTTTGACCAAAGACATCATGACCTCCATGGCCCATCCTTCCTATTCACCCAATCTCACCCTGAGTGGCTTTTCTTTTGTTTCTTTGGATGAAAAAAATCCTCTAAGGGAAAAGTTTTGCTGATGTGGAAGAGGTGAAAAAAAAAAAAAACAACATTAAAAGGCATCAAAATGGACAAGTCCAAAAGCTGTTCAGGGCAGTGGAAAAAGCATCTTGATAGGTGTATTACATCGAACAGAGAGCACTTTGAAAGTGACTGGTGTTTAAATATGTAAGAATAAATACCCAACTTTTTATAAATAAATTCTGGGATTTTTTGGTTCCAACCTCGTACTTCAGTTAACCTCATCATACAGATGAGGAAACTGAGATTCAAAGAGGGTAAGCAGCATTCCCAGAAATGACGAGAGAGGTAAAGTGAACCCAGGCTTATTCATGTAATCATGCTGGCTCTGTTATGATATCCAGTTTTGGTTGCCCCATCTCTCTTGACAATGCCCAATTAACTATCACTTCCTTTCTTCTCTCCTTGACTTGTCTTCCCAAACTGGATGCTTGGACTGAGTACCAACTGAGTTGTGTAGGAATTCAGTGTCCGTCTGAGGGTTTGCTGTAAGTCAGGCCTTCTGATGAGAATTTTAAGTACATTTCTCCACTTACCATTTACAGGACAGAGGTTGCCACCCTGTGTATGGATTGGGTCTGCTAAGAAGCTCGCAGATACCCTGTGGCAGATCTGAGATCAGAATGCAGGCCTTCCCTCTGCCCAGGGGGCCATCACCAACACCACGGTTGCCCCACAGTTGGGCAAATAGAAAGAGTTGCAGTCCAGCTAGAGTCTACCTGGCTCAGATACAGAGCCCTTCCTCCCCCACCGAACTCACATATGCACATAGTCAGCCAGTGAGTTTGTATCTCGCTTTGAAAATCCATTAAATTTGCTGGTGGTGACAGCAACTTCTTTATTTGCAACTCATCCTGGTTTCAGGAGCAAAGAAGTATGTGATTGATCTTCCTTAGTGTTAGTCTGCGAGGCATTGAACCGGCTCATGAACAATGGCTTCTCTGGGTTTGAACTGACTTCTAAAGATGTCTGGCCCTGTTCATTTCCTGTCTCTTGACTGTAGTGAGGCAGTGGAGCTTGTCTTGTAATCCCAGAACTAGAGCCTTTAAAAAAAGCCATTTCTCCCAGTTCCTTGTCCTACTCCATTCCCCACCCTCTCAGCCACTGCCTGGAAGTTTACCAGGGGTCTGCTGACCAGGCTGGAGTTCCAGGCAGATCAGCACCAAGACAGTGGACAGCTCCACCTCTCCCACTCATCCTTCTGCCCTCTGATCATTTTCAGGAAACATTGGCTGTGGACACCCAGAGCTGGTCTCTGGGTGCTGTGCTTGCT